AGAGATGAACTAAGAAAAGTTATTTGGTAATCGATGATGGGTAAAACGGTTGGATTTTATTCTGCTGACCAGCTGCTGTCTTGGAAATGGTGACCCAGACAATATGGGCTATATGACAAAATATCCAAATTACTTTGATGAGAGACTCGGGCTGATTTGGGTAAACATAGGAAGGATGAGGTGATGGGCTCAATCTCCTACATTGGCTTTATTTTCTGGCAGGGCCAGCCTGCCGCTTAGGCCAGTTGTCTCCCAAACAGGTGGCTGAAGTTCTTTCCATAAAGGGTCATCAGTTTTAGGAGGCACTTTAAAGACATGGGGAGCCTATTGCTCTAAATAAATTCCTCCTCCATTGGCCAGTATCTTTATCCAGTGAACTTTTATTTTAAGGCTTTGATATCTAAAGAACCCATGCCCTGGGATAAGAAATATACTGGTTGTCTGAAGAGAGAGACCAAAAGCCACTGACATAAGCCAATTTCACTTCATAGCAAACCTATACGGAGTGCCCTTGGCAGTGTGTGTTTCGGGGAGGAGAAACTCCAGTGGTTGGTGGGCTTAAACCGCCAGGCTTGCAGTACAGAGCCCAGTGCTTAACCCACTACACCACTTGCGCTCCTGGAAGAGAAGCAAGGAGTATTATTTGGACCGTGCAAGGCGGTTACAGAAAAGGGAGGTAGAAGTACTAGTTCACCCGCTTCACAGTTTTACCTGGGTTCCAACATTGTAGCATTCTTCCAAACATAATTGAGCATAATGCATATGAATGTATAACCATTATTACTTTCGCAAAACTCCAAGCACATGCTTGCTGATGGTGAGCCAGTAGATGTGATGTAGGAAGAACAAAGATACAGGACAAATATAGCAGAAAGTTTGGTTTTTGTGTCCTTAAGAAAATATTTTACTGAGTTTGGGGTGAAGTTTAACACAGGAAGTTGGGTTTCCATTTGATGATTTCCACAGATATGTCACACTTAGCATAATGGGTCAACATCCTCTGTATCCAATTCATTCCCTTTCCGGGGTGAGTTTCTCATTTTGCTGATGAGTAATTGATCTTTTGGTGTCTTCCTAATGATTTTAAAAATAAGATACCAACATTACAGATGATATCCTTTGTTTTATGTGGCACTCTAGCAGAAAGGTGTCAGATAAAGTTACGAACAACAAAATCCTGACCACTCTTTAGAAATCCAGATAAATGTCGGTAGCTCAGAAGTACCCAGGTTGATGCACTTTGTGGTTCTATTTCCACCCTAGATCCTTGGGCCAGGATTCTCAGGACAATAAAACCGTCCCCTTTCATCCATGCTGCAGTTCAATTTTCACAAAACTGTTGTGCAATAGTCATTATTCCCGTTCCACTTACGGGTAAACTCAGAATTTTACCAGGTTGACCTGACACTAACCGGTAGAGAGAGCATTTTAGCACAAATCCCTGAGCTTCAGAGGAGTCCTGGTGGTGCAGAGTTATGTGTGGGGCGGCTCCCTGCAAGGTCAGCAATTCAAAATCACTAGCTGCTCCTTGGGAGACAGGGCAGGCTTTTGACTCCTGTTACAGTCTTGGAAACCCTCAGGGGCAGTTCTACCTACCCTGTCTTGTTGGGTCACGGTGAGTTGGCATCTAGGAGTGAGACCTGAGCTCACACTAACACAAGATACACAGCTGCCTCATACACATCACCTTGGAAGCTTTTTCTTCCGAGATTGTAATTACCCAGTATTAGCAGTGTTCACTCCTGCCAGGTGCCCCTTATCGCTGCAGCCTGTCATTTCTGGCTTCACTTAAGGACTAAGTTCATGTCATTGTCAATTTTCCTTTTGGAATAGTTCGACGTTGGATTCGCCTCTTCAATTACAAAGCCACAAACTGGGAAAAGAAAAAACAAAACTCTTTGGGGTTTCCATTAACACTGGAAAGGAAAACTACGAGTAGTCATTAACACAAGTCATTGATCCTGACCTTGGCAGTGGGTTCTGCTTTTGTCCGACAGGTATTTTTCTTTATTTCCAGTGAAGGAGGGCAGTTAGCCCCCCTTTATCTCTGAGTCCCCTTTCTCCAGTGTCTCAAATCAGAGGAACGCTAAACAGAGAGGAACTGGCAAGCAGGGCGGGAACAGATGACGAGGCTCCCACTTTCATCGAGGAGGATGTCACAAAGTTTTGCTACAAAATAACAGAAACCTTTATTAAAGAAAAAGATGAACAATGAGAAGCTGTTAGTTCTCCACACATCTTCCGTCCTTTCTGACACTTCCCACGGAATCTGCGCTCTTGCCGCGGCATCCTGGAGGGACACAGAGCAGTTCCTTCTCAGCGTTCTTTGAATTTTGGGAACAAAAGAAGTTTAAGGGGGTAAGATCAGGGCTGTGGAGAGGACGGAGTAAGGTTTCCCAATATTCTCATAGGGCAGCCCTTGCTACCCTCAAAAATAAGTAGGTGCATTGTTGTGGGAGAAAAAAATCCTCAACATAGCTTTCCTGGGCCTTTTCTCATCAATACAGTTTTCACTTTTCTTCAAACTTTCCCTAATAAGCCCTGTCTTCCCAGAAAAAAAATCTATGAAGAATATCCCTTTAGAATTCCAAAAACAGTCATCTCAATCTCCCAGGCTGGCATCTCTGCCTGGAATAGATATAACAAGCCCAGCAGAACCCCTTGGAAGCTGTAGTCTTAACTGCACTTTCCTTTCTAATGTTCCCTAACAAGACTAAGACAAGTGTATTGCTGAGAGCATTTGTCTGCAGCTATCTATTGGATAAACAAACTGTTAGGATAAACCCATGCGTTGGAACTGGGGCCCTCACAATAGCCTTGGACCACCTTCGTATGAGACCACCTTGACTAAGTGGGGACAGTATCAGAAAAGCTCTAAGAACTAACTTTCCTTTATCCAACCAACATTTACTGACCATCTATCAAATCCCAGGAAGATACAGCTGAGTAAGAATGGATGCTTGTACCTCAAATATCTGTTCTCCAGAGGAAAGCAGTCTCATAAGCAAATACAAAACAGGTGGGAAGTTCTATGAGAAGGCAAAGGCGAGCCAGATATTTTGGCCTGCTGGATCAAGAATGTGAAGTGACATTTTTACTTAAACTAGGCCTTGAGCGCTGTGAAAGGCAAGGTGATGGACCAGTGTGTCAGTCTATCCCAGGAAGGATCTGGGTGTCAGGTCACATGTGCTACTTCTATGACCAGCCTACTGCATGTGGACAGGTGACACAAAGGCATAACCTGGAGCCTTTCATCCCAGGGGACAAAGTTAGAAAGATTTGACAAATATAATTTAAGGATAGATTCAGGCACAACAGTTTACCTGACAAGTCAAACAAGTGGAACAATGGAATGGATAATGGAATATACCCGTCAACTTTTTGAAGGTCACTTGTGCTAATTGGGTTATTGTTAGCTCCAGTCTAGTCAACATTGACTCCTGGCTTCCTGTGGTACAACAGAACAAAACGTCACCCACACAGGCAGCGTTCTCACACCAATGGCACACTGGCATCCACTGTTGCTATCGGGCTGGTCCATTTTATGTCCTCTACAAACCACTAAGCACCAACTGCATCTTAGTGTCACAACCTCCTCCAGCAACTGATCCTGTTGGCACATCCAAAACGAGCAAGTCAATGTTCTACTTACAAGTTGCCTTTAGTGGTTGACTTAGCTGTCTTTTGCCTGTAAGAAATCCTGGTTGGTCTGAATCTACCCGGTAACTTTGTGGGGAAAAGACCAGAAATCTGCTCTGGTAAAGATTTGTCTAGGAAACCCTATGAGGCAGCTCCACACTGTCAGACGGTCACTGTGAGTTGGATCCAACCATCAATTTGGCTGTACCAAAATTTATGATCATAACACCATTAAATGGTTTCATTTCAAACACAAACATGTAGTATATCTTCCTTTAGGAAAAATATTTCAATGTTTTCTCTACTAATTTCTAAATTCATTGTCCATTTATTATTATTTTTAAAATTTTGGAATTAATGCTAATCATAGCAGCTTTCAGAAGTGTTCTAAATGTAGCAACAGCAATCCTGTACCAGGCTTCTGACAAAGAGCATTGGCAGTTCTGAATCTCTAGGGCAGTGTTTCCCAGGGTGGTCCATTCTGCCCCAGGGAGGCGCTACAGCAATCCAGGGGGGCTGCATATACTTTACCCTGCATTATGGGTTACAATACACAAGTTTTTTTTTTTATTGCCAAAGGAATATTTCCCCCCGCCCCCGAAAGGAGGTAGTAGGAGGCCAAATAAGTTTGGGAACCTATGCCCTAGGGGCTTACATTACCACAAAACAAACAAGCAAACAAATCCCCAAAATTTTCCAACAAAACAGTGACCAGAAAAAGAGCGTTTTAAATGACATCACAATTTTGAGATAAAATCTGAAGAACTAAATGGGATACCATTTCCCCCTCCAATAATTGCTTCTGAAGAAGCCAATCAACTACGGAGGTGAAGGCAGGACAGCCCCACTGCCTCTTGACGGGGAGACAAGAGCCTAGGATGTCCGGCCTAGGATGTCCGGATTACAAATTCTTCTACCATGATTTGTGTATAGTAGTTCAGTGTGGGTTATTTGAAAACAAGGCTGGGAACTTAGGAGTCATGGTAAAGCCATGAACTCTTCATGAGCAAGGGCTCTTTTGCCCTCCGGACCTCAGCACTGACTTTGTGCTACTCAGCGCTGATCTGCTGACTAACTGAATGGTTACCAGGCCTGAGAGTCTGAAGGATTTAACAGCACATTGCCTCTGGTGAGGGACGCTCTTTTTTACGCAGCTTGTAAAACTAAGAGTTTTCTTGTATACCTCAAATATATTTTTATTAATGATTCCATTTAATTTGAAAATGAAGTTAGAAAAAGATACGATAGCCATTTTCTAAGAAACAAATCACAAGTAAAGCGAATTTCTAAAAACGAACAGGGTTATTTTGCAACATCCAATTAATTTTTAAAATTTCATAATAAAGATACACTTGACCACATTTAATAGAAAAGTACCCTTTTATTGAGAGGTAAGACAAATGTATTTACACTACTCAATTGTTAGATCATATAATTTGACCATGAGACTTTTAAAAGCAGCAGTATTTCAGAAATTACAATTTATAAGGGGAAAAGAAAAACGTTCCAAATATGTTTCTGTTACAGAAAATACATTTGAACAATGACAGAAACACTTAAGGCTAAGTAGTATTAGACCTTTTCCTCTCTGTGTATGGAACTAATTGAAGTACATCTTTCTCAGAAAGACAGGAGGCTAATTTTGGAAAGGGAGAGATGATATGAAGTACAGTGATGTGAGAAAATATGCTTCAAAATAGAGCCTCATCAATAGTGCTGAAAAAAACATATACAATGCTGCACAGTAGTCCCAAAGTCATACTTAATATTAACTGTGGACTCAGTTAAAACAGAAAACCGCTCCAGCGCCTCCAACTAGTAAGGACTGGGAGATTATCCAATCTGCTTTGCCTAGTGATGCTTTCTGAAGACTGAACAGGGAATCCGTCACAGTGCAAAGGACGTCTTGGTAGAAATGCACGTCTATAAACACGTTAAATAATACAGGTGTTCCTTGCATTAACAGATGCCGTTCTTGCTCTAAAAAGGTAGAATTATCTAGCCATTTAAATAATGCAGGTCAGTCAAAAGCATGTATATCCGAGTCCTCCAGGGCACCGTGTTAGTCAATCCCTCAAAGGTCCACATATGTCTGTGTGTATTCGACACTCTTCAAGTGAAGGTATTACTTTTTAAAAGGAAAGAACGTTAGACACAACACCAGATCTCTTATTATTCCAAGAACTACTGAGGTAGGAGTCTCCATTTGCCAGAATCACTGCATTTCACAGATTATATCTAAGTCAATGTCAGTGTCAAAGAGAGTAATCCACAAGAATGAACCATCAGACTATAGACCACGTCTTTCCTTCTGTAGATAAGCAACACTGGGAGTTCTTGGGGAAACAAGAGATTAAATTTAAGAAAAAAACTGTCATATATTTTGAAGATACTTTTAAAAATAAAAACCAGATTTCAATTATGATCTCATGTATGAAAAGTTATACAAGTTAAAAAAAAAAAGAGCAAACAGTGCACTCATTAGTGATAAAACAAATAGTATGGTGATTACTGCAATGTGTTTCCAGATCTTTACCAGTAAAGTTGCTACCATGGACAACTATTGAAGAAACAAGTGTTCCCTAGTGTCTGTCAAGTGAAAGTAGGAAAGACAACACATTCCTTTTTTAGAGTCTATAGCCAGTTTAACTGTATTAAAACAATGTCAGTATGTGAACCCATTTTCTCCATTACTCAAGATGGAGAGGACTCATCCAAAGCATGTATCATGCCCTTTTTTGACTTTTTACTAAGAAAAAAAGGAGAAAACAATGGGTAAACTCAGCTTAGGTGATTAGCCCTTTTAAAAAGCTGCAAGTTGAACCTTTTAACATCTTTCTTACATGTTTTAAAAGTAAGCATTGCCAATCATTACTGATTGTAATTTATGAAAAATAAAATAATAAATGTACTGCCTAAATGGAAGGAAAAGAAAGGAATAACTACAACATGACAGGGAAAAATCCACTTACTTTGCATCATTTAGTATCTTAAATAAAACACAATTCGCTGAGACTAAGTCATGTAACAGATTAATGGTCAAGAGTACAGTTTGTTACGTGAACAATTCGGGCAGATACTCAAGGGATGAGGTCAGACTCCCAAGAAAGGTGAATATTTCCCAAGGGTGTTGCTAAAGAAAAAAGTGCTTGGTCAGTTGTAATATAGAACCTAAAGAATGACCTTTGCATATTACAAAGAATAGCTAGTTCTGATTTTTATCTACTTTGAAACATTAAGATTCAGAAGAACTACAAAAGTTTTATTTTAGCCATGTTTTTTAAAAAAAGTGATTGATACATCAAAAAAAAATTTGCCCCCGGTTTTAATACATGAAAAGACATAATCCAATCAAACGCATGCTTCACTTTCAGAAACACAGTGCAACTGGAAAAGCTTTTGCCAATGCCGCGCAGGCTCCGAGAAACAGTCCTTCTGGACGCTCACAGGCACCACAGTTCTCTCGGGATGGCTGTTTCACACATTGTGGAAAAACAAGAAAAAGAGCCCCGCAGTCTCCATATGGATTGTAACATGGGTCTCAGCAACTTCAGTTTGCTTGCTGACTTCTCAGAACACGTGATGAACAAATCTGTTTTCGTCTTTGCTAATTGCTGTTGGTACTCTGTAGGCTACACATTTTGAACTTCTTTAAAGAACATTACAAGCTATTTCATGTAATTTAATTTTGTGCTGAATATCCTTTGAAGGAATTTATAAATAATACAATATGTTAAACGAGTCTTCAGTTCTCTTGTTGTTATACCATATTGTTGCTTTCTCCAACTTTATCTACAAACTGTTAATGAGGAAAAAGGAAATGAAAATAATTAGCAACAATCCTATGGATTATACAGTCTGCTATCAATATTCTAGATGTTGATTTAAAAAAATCCCAGCTTTACACGATTTGTGGAAATTTAAAGTATGACTGACAGTGATTAATCAGCACCACTCACCACCATCTTCCGACACATAAATGTTTAAAATAAATTTTTGCTCCTAAAATTTGCTTTTTGCATGACATGTTATACATATGAATTTAAAGATGCAACATGACAAATGTAACAATGAATAAATAACTTAGGGCACATGGTAACACTGCTAGCTTAAGAAAAAAGTAAAAAAAAAAAAATTGAAATGTCAGCCATTCATGCATTAATGAACCCAATAAGATATTTCAACTGACCATTAGTGTGGATCTCTTCTGGGCCTATGTAGTCTTTGAACAAACAGATTTAACTCCATTAAGTTCAATCATTAACAACAGCTATTGACTAAAAATACTTTAAATGTGTATTCTGGACTTCAGACTGAAAGTGGCAACAACATTAACAATAGATGTAATGATGCAAACATAAATTTATAATTATTAATTATAAATTTTATAGTACACATTAATTTAAGTGGTTATTCACATTGGTTACTCCACCTCCCACAATAAAGAACAGTCTGGCTTTCTTTCACAATTCCATGGGGATTCAATATTGAACCAAAATATCTAATTAGGGGAGACATTAAAAGGTATGTAATCTGAGTTATTGCAATACTATCAAAATCTAGCAATCATTTTGACTGCTTCTTTTATTTTCTACGCACACCTTTACTTAAGCATTTATCATCATTAATTAATGATAGGGAACATAATTGATAGTATTTGGTTACTCATTTATTCAAATATTACATTATCCTTAAATGAAGGATATAAATAATGTTTACAATTTCATAGCTAGAATTTCTAATACATCCAACAGCCATTTTAAGAAAAAACATTGACAACTGTATGAAATTGGAGGAAATGAAACCGGGATACACCGCTGTAAGTAAAATTCCAATATTCTACATCACAAATAGTTGGATGGGTACTGAAAAGTTGTTCTGAATGTATTTGTAGATTGGAAACTTTTTTAATTAATTAATTTTTTATTCATTAGAATTTTAAAGAAAATATAAAATGAGAAACGCTATCCTCTCTTCAAGGGTAACTTAAATCTCTAGGTTGCCTTGACTGAAAAGTTCTGATGCTAAAATTGATCTAGGGATAGAAATGGGATTAGGCTTAGTCTTACTCTCCTGGGGTAAACCCTCCACTGCTCTTTCAGAGTTCAACAATTACCATGGTTCTTCTCTGAAGATCTACGAGAGTCTGTAAGTAACTAGGAAGATGATGGACTCTAGACCTGTGGTCTTTTAAGTCTGCATTTACGGCCAGTTTACCCCAGTGGTTCAGGACAGATGTGGAACTACAAAATGTCCTCAAAGATTGTCCCCAACTCAGCTGAATTCCAGATTACCCAGATGCTTTTGAAATTTAAGGATTTACTTTACTTTTAAATATAGGATTAAGGTGCCAAAAAGTCAGCTGGAATTCCTTGAGGTCAATGAAATGCCATCCATCCTCCATTCATCCATTTAGCAAAAATGTTCTGCGTGTCCATTCTGTGCTAGGTATGGAGCTGGGTACTAGGGACAGATAGAACAGCGACAAACATACAGTCCGTTTCTGCTCTCAAGGACTGTAACATGTCACATAGAAGTGAAGCTCTTTGCCCGACAACTGGAATATGAAGAAGCAGGGCTAAGACAGAGGTGTGTGCATGGAAAGCTACAGAAGTGCAGCCTGAGTCAGAGCCCAAGCTAGTCCAACAGTCAGGAACGCTTTCTTCTGAGAAGGCAGTGAGTAAGCTACATTTGAAAGACATTCCAGACCTCCTCTAGCGTTACAGTCCTCACACTAGTGGTCAGTGTCAAGTATTTGCTGAATGAATAGTAAATGTAGGGAAGTCACTTGTCAATTTTAAAATGTTCTCTTTAACCTTTATTAATGATCTAATTTGACACATTTTATTTTATCAGAATAAAAACAGAGGCCCACCCTGCAGAAGCCAAATAGTTGATGTTGAGGACAGAGTTGGGAAGAGCATCATATCATACTGATTTGCAGCATGATAATCTTCTGTTTTATGTCTTAAATCACTCTACTTGGTGATGTAATCTGAGAAAGAAAATATTTGCAAGAAAAAATCGTAACCTTTCCATATTATTGTATCTAAGATTAGAGGTCATATGAAATTGAATTGGAAAGTACCTTGAGTCCTCAAAGAGAAAGGGAGCATTGTTCTATTAATCTGAACAGCATTTAAATTAGAGAACAATATTAAAAATGGATGCAGTGAAATATAATTTCAAGTTGTATACATTTAGTGATGACTATTCTTTCTGGTATTCATGGTGACCATGATCTATGTGATGTAAATATTTACATGACAACCCCAAATAATCAATTACCCAATCAAGTGTATCAGCCATTCAAATTTCCATAAGTAAAATGCATCCAAAAGTATGTATTTTGATGGTTTGAAAATAAAAAGCTAAATCCACATTACTTACTGATCTGATTCCAGGTAAATTCAAGAGGGATCCAAGGACTGGCACTCTTCTAATAAAGCCGACCACCACGGGGAAGAAGCCCCTGGCAGAGGAAAAGAAGGTTCTTACAGTACACACGTTCTCTACCATAGAAACTAATCACTAACCGAACAAACAGAAAGGATCCATTAAAATTTTGAATGTTGTAGAGATGTCAACTTGGAATTCTGAATGACAACCAACCTCACTGGAAAATGTTTCGTTCGGTGAAAACCCTGAAGACCTTGAAGGCAAGCTATATTAGATGCCCAGGCTGACTGGTTATCTCAGGTCAACTGCAGGTGGTACCCTCAACTGTGCTGAGTTGTGTGGGGTAGAAGGAACCGGAAGAAAAAGGCTGGAGAACACGTACGGAAAGGAGCATGGGAATGATCATACCATCACTGACTAACTCTGAGTGTCCAGTACGCTCTCGACTGCCTACAAGCAGAGTATTGTTAAGTCTCATCCTTTTGGTCAAAATACAAGCTCACAGAAGTCACAGTTTTTAACCCATTTTCAACTGATTGTGGCTCAGTTAAGCCATCTCCATTTGGGAAGAATAAGAACGGTTTTCTGAATAAAAATTAAGTATAAACACCGACTGTAACTCAGGATGACCTCAAGTATATGAGAATAGGCACTGTGCCCCAGAGTTCCTAAGGGCCCATTCTTCAGAAGAAAGTCACTGGGTCTTTCTTCTGAGACACCTCCCAGGAGCCTAAAACCACCCGCCTTTCAGGGAGCAGTCAAGTACTAAATTATGTGTACCTCTCAGGGACTCCAAAGTTAGGTATAAACTCCCAAACCAAACTCACTGACATTAAGTGGATGCCAACTCATAGTGACCTTAGAGGACAGGATAGAACTGCCCCTGTGAATTCCTGAAACGAAGTTTTCCTGGGTGTAGATTGCCTCATTTTTCTTCCTGTGAGGGGGATGGTAGTTTAGAACTGCTGACCTGTGGTTGGCAGCCCAACATGTAAATACTAGATGACCAAGGCTCATAAAGTCAAGTATATAGATTAAAATACTACATGGGTAAAGTTCAAGAAGAAAGCAGTAAGATTAAATTAAGAATGTGCAATAAGTGAAGAAACTAAAGAAAAGTTAAACAAACTGGGAAAAATTATTAGCAAAATAATTTTTAAAGTGGTAATTAAGGGGGCTTTAAAAATTAATGAAAAAATGGAATGAAAAGATACCCTCTCACATGTACATGTTTAAAAAACTATTTTCTAGTAGCACTAAATTGAAGTTTTAGTGCTGTAGTTTTAAGTTTTTAAAATACGAAATTGAGTGCTTTTAAGTGCTACTGTTTAGGAGTCTAAATAACCAGGAAAACCATGCTGAGCCCCTTGGTATCTCCTAAAAAAATCACTGAAAAAATAGCATTTTGTACCAAAACCTTCTCTAAATCCCACCCTGAAACTAGTATACTTTTCCAGGTGTATAAGGGTAAGTCAAAAAGTATTGCTGCAAACCCATAGAACCCTTTAATTAAACAGAATATTCTGATATGAAACAGAAATATCAAAAGTGAAGCTTTGGGGGTCTCAGCACAAACCATCTAGGTCTATGTATTTCTGAGGGTACTGTTTGCATCTCTCTACACCTTCCAAGAGGAATTCTGCACCTTTGATTTATACGACATCATAACAGTTTTGGCATACCTGAGGGACCCAAACCCTGTTCTCTTTCCATGCTCTTTGAGTGCTGGAAACCAAAGGAACGTCTGAAGGGGTAGGATCAGGGCTGTGGGGTGTATGGCAGTAAATTTTTATAAGACAGCCCTTGTTACTGTCATTGTGATGGTGGGAAAAATTCTTTGAGCCAACCTTCCTGGCCCCAAAATGCAGATTTCAATTTTCTTCACAATCAGCCCCTTTGATTATTCTGTGTCCTTTCAAGTTTGCCTCAAGAGTCCCTATAACCATCTGGGCTGACCTTTCTGCCATGTAGTTAATTGGCTCAGCAGATCCCCTTGAAAGCCACTGTTTTGATGGAATTTTTTTTTCTTTTTCTTTTTTAAGGTACCTTAAGTCTTACTATCAAGAGAATTTGTCTGCAGCCATCTAGTGTTTAAACACGCTTTCCACTGATTCCAGCTCTGGTGGCACAGTGGTTGCACCTTGGGCTGAGATCCACATGGTTATATATACATCCACAGGGGCTCGCTACCAGCACTGGCTAAATGGCAGGGAATTTGTTTTAACACGGAATAAATCTGTAAATGTTTGAACTAGAACCTTATTAGCAATTCTTTTTGACTTTTCCCTACAATTCTCTCTGTAGTAGTCAACGATCTCTTAACTGGCACCCAAGCCTACCTTTCTCTTTTTCATACATGTTATCAAGGTATTAGTTTGCTTAATACGCTATGTAAGGAACTTTTGCCATCTGGCTCCAAATGTACTTGTCAGTCCTATCTCTAAGCAGTCCAGTCCATTCATTACAGGCTTGTCTCAGCAGACTGCTCCTTCTTTCTAGAAGCAGCCACTGGGAAAATTTCCATTTTCCCAGGAATTTTTTGAAGCACCGTCTTTCTTCCTTGTCCCTTTATTTTTTTTGTGGTTCAGTGAGAAAATTCTCCCTGTCTATGTGGGAGGCCTGGGCTGGATTTCCAGACAACACACCTCCAGTACAGGCTTCATTCTCAGTGGAGCGCTGTGTGTGACCATGATATTAGATAATGAAGAGGTTTAAGTGGCACTTCCAGAAGAAGATAAGACTAGGATGGAAGGTCTGGTGATCTACTTCTGAAAATCAGCCACTGAAAGCCTTATGGATCAGTGGTCAGATTCTGTGGACCACAGGGTTGCCCTGAACCAGGGCCAGCTCCACAGCAGCTAACATCACCACCACCACCATTTCTCTGTCTAGTTAACTGTCCTTTCCCCTCTCATTACAGGATGAAATGCTACCCATCTTTCAAAGTCCAGTCCATCAGTTCACGTATCTTCTCTTTCACTACTAGACGTAGTCCCTTAATTCTGCTCCTAAAATCCTTTCCATATATACTCTATTTCCCACATTAGAAATAAATTCCCTAAAGCAGATTTGGCATTTAGTTCATCTCCTGTGAGTACTATAGTACCTTAAAGACAGAAGACACAGAACATATATTTCTAGAATAAATAAATAAGACCTCCTCCATTAATAGGCATTGCCTCAAGCTGTCTATTACTGTGTATTTACTTTGGTAACTACCACCCAGCCCAGAGGCTGGGAAACTGTTGCTCGAGAGCCACATGCGGCTCTTTCAGTACGTACAGGTGAGTCTGAAGTAAAATTGAAAGATTTTAAAGGATATGATTTAGATAATAGTGATTTATTTGTGAAAAAATATTTATAGCTCCTGAATATTTTTTAAGTGGTTGTGAGGGTTAGGATTGGCTCTTCTGTCTCAAAAGATTGTCAGCTCCTGACCCAACCCATGGCTATCGGTGGACCCTGACTCATAGCAACCGACATCGGTTTTCTGAGACTATGATGCTCTACAGCAGTGCTCTCAACCTTCCTAATGGCGCGACCCTTTCACACAGCTCCTTATGCTGTGGTGACCCCCCAACCGTAAAATTACTTTCGTTGCTACTTCATAACTGTAATTTTGTTACTGTTAAGAATCGTAATGTAAATATATGATATGCAGGATATATTTTCAGTGTTACCAATTGAAAATAACTAAAGCATAGTGATTAATCACAAAACAATATGTAATTATATATTGTGAAGTATGTGTTTTCTGAAGGTCTTAAGTGACCCCTGTGAAAAGGTCGTTCAACCTCCAAAGAGGTTACGACTCAGGTTGAGAACCACTACTTTACAAGAAGAGGTAGCCTCATCTTTCTTTTGGGGAGTGTCTAGTGGATTTGAACCCTAGACTGTGGTTAAAAGTCTAATGCTTATATTAACTATTCAAAGTCTCCAATAGTGTGTTTGGCATGGCGTTTTCTATTATGAACAGGGCCATGACTATAAAGAATCACATTCCACGCACTAAAATGCTGGGTCTATCCACTTACATAACTTTCTAGTTAATGTAAGAATTATCCTAAAGATAGTGTCATAAAAGAATAAAATGAAATGTATTACATTGTAAGCACTTTCCAAGACAACGTATGCCCTTACTTAGACAATCTTCTCTGCATTAAACTTTTTGCAGTTGATTAAATGGTGTCAATTGTAATAAAACACAAAAGCTAAAAATAATTTAAGAAAATTATTGTCTCCTTCTGCAGAGTGATGCAAATACCAGGGGCTTTGTAATAAGAAAAGAGGCGTATGGTACAGTGGTTAAGTGCAAGTAGTGGTTAACAGAAAGGCTGGCTGTTCAAACTTACCAGCTACTGTGGCGGGGAAAGATGTGATATAGTCGGTTTCTATGAAGATCATAGGCCAGGAAACCCTATGGGGGCAGTCCTAAAGGGCTGCGAAGAGTTGGAACTGACTTGATGGCAAGGGGTAACACAAACTTGACAATAGGATTTACTGAAAGAGTAAAGAAAAGAAAATGATCGGCTTACCTGAATAAGAGAAAGAACCCGTAAATTTCGAAGATCATGCCTATCAAAGGCCAACCAACAAGGACTACAAATACACCACCCAGGAAAAATCCTGTAGCTTTCATTTTGTGTTTTTGGAAGAAGAATCTGAATGTTCTTTCTAAGCCAATTACAAAAGCCAAGCCTGCGACAAATAAAACCTAGAACACACAGAAAATCAACATAGAAAAAATAGTTACAAGTCAATTAAAAAACACAGGATCAAAGCTAAATATTAAAAGAAGTACATTTGTTTGGGTTTTAAAGTGGTTAACTGGCTGAGAGTGAACTATAACATATAACAAAGAAATCAGAGGCAAGGAGTGGACTAGGCATGTAAGAGTGGGATTCTAATCTTCTTAGTCTTCTATCTTGATTTAATACAGAAAGAGAAACAGAGCAAGATTCGACTTTACAACAAGGTATGTGCAGCCGTCGTTTCTTCAGGTCGAGCTGACCAAAGACAGCTAAATCCAGCAGATGAGCGGCAACGTAGAGAAGGAAAGGTCCTCTGGATGGGAGGGGTGCTGACAGGGCCAAGTGGACACTACAGGAAACCACGCAAGGCCAGCAAAGAAGAGGAGAATTTTACTAACTCCAGAGTATCTGGTGGTAGCAGAAATAAGACTGGAGCCATATGGACTCAAATACACATACATTTTATATATTTCGGACAGCAGACAAGAAATGGTGACCTACAACAGCTTGCTGCCTCCCATGTCTTCTTCCTGAAGGTTTGATCACCCCCACTAACTTTCTTTACTGGGAAATATTTAACAAGAATATTTATTAAGTCTAAAGGTAAACTTCATATTCAGAGACAGCAATGTTGTTTATATGATCATTTATTAAAACATTAATTTTGAACAATTTTGTTACCCTTTATCTTTTTCTTATTTCAAATTAAAAGCTCAAAAGAACATACCATTCAAAAAGTATTTTATCATTCAGTGACTTTTTATTATGTATTCCTAAAACACTTGAACCTATACAAATGAATAATACATAATTCAAATAAATAATATAAGCATCTTTCTAAGCAATTCAGTAATTAATAAAGATACATTTTCTGAAAAGTTTTTAAAAAACTGTATTTTAAGTTATTAAATCAAATCTGAACTCTCAGGTATTTAAAGTTAAGATATTTTAACAAATTTACCAACACATCGGACTATTAGGTCCTATATCTTGAATTTCTATTTAGAGGCAGCTTTCAATTAAAGAAAGCTAAAGAGCTCTGGCAGTGCAGTGGTTAAGTGCTCAACTGCAAACTCAAAGGTTAGTGGTTCGAGCCCACTAATTACATCTATGGGAGAAAGATATGGCAGTCCGCTTACATTAATATTGACGGCCAAAAAAGCCCGAGGGTCCAGTCCTACTCTTGTCTTTTAGGGTTGCTATGAGTCAGAATCAACTTGACAACAATGGGTTTTTTCCAGTTAATGCACTGTACATCATTTAGAAGACACTGGATTAGAAAACCTCATTAAGAAGTTTCTTTTAACTGGAAACACAGGGAATCCAGGGCGGATGATCCCTTCAGGACCAGCGGTGTGCATGGCAATACCGGGAGGGTAGAAGGAGGGTGGGTTGGCGGGGGAAAACGATTACAAGGATCTACATGTTACCTCCTCCCTGGGGGACAGCCAACAGAAAAGTGGGTGAAGGGAGACATCAGACAGGGCAAGATATGACAAAATAATAATTTATAAATTATCGAGGGTTCATGAGGGAAGGGGGAGCGGGGAGGAGGAAAAAAAATGAGGACCTGCTGCCAGGGGCTTAAGTGGAAAGCAAATGTTTTGAGAATGCTGAGGGCAATGAATGTACTAATGTGCTTTACAAAATTGATGTATGTATGGATTGTGATAAGAGTTGTATGAGCCCCTAATAAAATGATTAACAAAATTAATAAAAAAAAGTTTCTTTTCATTTAAACAGTAGGCTGATAGGTTTCATTCCTGATGGAAATAGAAAATGTAGTGGGAGATTCTACCTATTAATTATAATGAACTACTTCTCCAAATTTAATAGAACGTAGTGATTCATTTGTAGTTAAATTTCCTTAAGAATTTAATTAAAATGCATATTTAAAAACTCACATTTCCAATAGCCAGTAGTGCTTTGTCAAAAAAGAGAATCATCCCAAAGAACAGGAAAAACACTCCAAATCCTGTTAATCCCATTCCAATTTCTGCAATATAAGTTACATGGTTAAGTGCAGAGAAAAATTAAGTCACATTAAGATCCCTGTAAGCTAAGAGAATTTATCACTATTTTGGGGGTTCAAATAAGTGAAATGGTCCCCAACATATCAGACTAACTCATAATAATATTAACAAAGGTCTAAAACAAATTAAATTAAGAGCCACAAATTACTTCAAAATTTAAAGCATGAATGGCAATTCTCTATAAGGGAAACAGTATTTTTCACAAATTTAACAATAGGAAACTAGGATTCTAAACCTAGGGCATACAATTCTCTCAACCCACACCCCTCTCCCAAGAACCTCTTTGACATGAGATATATAGGTTTTCTTTCATAGATTTATCACTGTTCACATTTCTTGGCTCTCTTATTATCAATTCCCTCTTTATCAATTCTAGACTGCTTTTCACAATGGTAACAAGAAATATTTAGATGATCACAGTTGTCTCCCCAAAATTTAATCTTCAAGACAACTTCCTTACAGATTTTTCTACTATTAAATTTTGAGTTCACTCACGTATTTTGTCTAATGAGCAAGAAGATCATCTCTGTAAAGTTTCAAATTGTTTTTACCTACTATTAATATTCTTGGTGTTTACTCATTCATTCAAGAACCCAGAGTTACAGATTAACTACTAGATCCCAGCAACTGTCCAAGGTATTGAATATACAGTGATAGACAACATTATGCTTTGAAGTCTGAGTTCATGTATCTGTAAGGATTAATAATTTTATTGACTTTACATTCATTCTTTCAACCTTATCATTTTCGTTTGAAGAACCTTAACTTTCTGTGACAGTGATACACCTCTGTTAATGCCACGGAGTCACCCCTTTGATCACTCTAGCTCATTGGAGGAAATGGCTGCATATACTTCTTTTACCACATTCCAACATTTGAAGTGCAGATCATGAGTCTGAGCATAAGCCACTATATTTTTGGAAACACAATTTTAAGTTACTATTGAAGCTTTTTGATTTGCTCAGCCCCAGAAAATCTAAAATCTGGGTTATAGCTAATTAAAAGAAATCTCTAGCCATACAAAATGGTCTGTTGACTTGAGGATTTTTATTAATTTTACCTATTTCTATATCCCCCATCTCCTCAATCTACAAATAGCTGCTGCCTTCCATCACCATCATCTCTCTTTCAAAGTCGGTCTAGAAGAATTCAGGTGCACTGGTATTGTCCACAGGAATTGGTTTGAATGACTTAAGAAAACTTGCTGTTTAGGCACAGCTTATTGGAGGAAAAGATGGACAAAAGAACAAATAAAATTCCTTTAAATACTATTTTGGAGTTTAAATTTAATTATTAGCAACTGAGTTATTTGAATATGCCTAATAAGTTCTATCTTTCCACAGGTTATCTTAATTATCATATACTATTTTTGGGGTTTTCACCAGAAAGAAGATCCCATGTATTGCAAATTTGCAATGAATTAGGCATTATGAGGTGCTTTACCTACCTGGGAGCCCTGGTGATGTAGTGGTTATACATTGGGCTGTGATCTGCATGGTCAGCAGTTCAAAATCACCAGCAGCTCCGTGGGAGAAAGACTGGGCTTCCTACTCCCGTAAACAGTTATAGCTTCGGAAATCCACAGGGGTCACTTCGAGTCATCATTGACTCCATGGCAGTGTGTTTTATCTGTCTTAATTTAAATTTAGCCTCCCAATACTTATACAAGTTAGGTAACATATTATGTGAGAGTTGGAGGCGTTTGAAGTTTAGATAGCATTTGAACTCAGGTTTGTGGGAATCTAAGCCCAGGCTATGCTGCTTCACAGTGTCTGGTTTTAAGGGTACACTATGTTTGTTGGTGTGGCAGTAATAAACTTTCGAAGGGTGTTTCTTTAAGTGAAAGACATTTAATATGATTAGTTTGTAAACAAATATAATGGTGATGCTGGTAGATCTACTAAACATTAACTGCAGTAAAAAAAAGAATATGGTTCTGAATAAATATCTCTCTTAATATAGTTGCACATTTAAGGAAGTATTTTTACAAATACTATGGATTCTTTTAAACAAAATTGCGTGTAAAAGATAGCTCCATTCCATATTTTACAGTGTCAGATGAAGTAGCGTATGTGTGGTGGTGGTCAATCAGGCCAGAATTCCAATCCAGCCTTTACTCCACGGCCACTGGGCTCACACCTACAGCATGGGAACCAAAACCTCCCAACTACTTTATCCCACAGTCTGGCACAGTGGGTCTCATCCTTCCTGATGCCGCGACCCTTTAATACAGTTCCTCATGCTGTGGGACCCCTCAACGTAAAATTATTTTCATTGCTACTACATCACTGTAATTTACTACTGTTATGAATCGTAATGCAAATATCTGATATGCAAGATGTATTTTCATTGTTACAAATTGAACATAATTAAAGTACAGTGATTAATAACAAAACAATATGTAATTTTATATTGTGAAATATTTATGTCTAATGAGAAATAAATGAAAATTTGTCTTGAAGCATGGTGTAGCATGGGCAACAGTCCTCAGGCGGGGTACTCGTATGTGGGCGTATCTGCATGTGGGCAGACCAGCCTGGAGACAGAGGAGCAGTGTCTTGGTTCCTAAGACCATGGAAAATAATGTGTTTTCTGATGGTCTTAGGTGACCCCTGTGAAAGGGTCGTTTGACCCCCAAAGGGGTCTCAACATACAGGTTGAGAACCGCTGGTCTAGCAAGCCAGAAGCCTTTATAACAACCTGATAAGACTGGTACTGGCGTGCGCCTGCCAAGTCTTTCCTGCCTTGAATGGCCTCTTTATGCCTACTTTCCAGCTTCAGAATTCCCTTCTTTCCTATCCTTATGCACTCATAGACCCCAGCTGAATTATGCACAGTGAAATACATTTCTCTCTCTTGTGCACTATCAAACTTGTATTCCTCCTGCTCACAAGTCACTCGCAAAAAAGGAATAATCTAATAAAATTAACCTATTTAATTTAAAAAAGTTCATTGTATAAATTCTGGGAAGGATCCCCTCATCACCAATGGCAATACTTACCATTTTGGCATCCTACTTAGAACTTCTTTTTTTTATTAAGGCAGCACCCTCCAAAAAACAGGGAGCATTAAAAATATTGCTTATAATCAGCTTAATGCTCTGGTGTTTTCAGGCAACATAGACTTAGAGTGAACCAGGGAACTCCTCCCACCTGCTGGCCCTTCAATAAATATGGTTTATAGGGTGTGTGCTATTTTAGAATCCCTTAAAACCACCACATATAGCTATTTACTCTGGTGCAGAGTTTGGGGACCTTCTCCCACAATCAGAATCCAGAATAGTTTGGCAAATCAATTTTGAATGGTGGCTACCTTCTGCAGTTAAACACACACAAACACAGTTTGGAAGAGAAAAAGCTTTGGTTCACTAATCATTTTGTTTCAATCCACTCTCACCTCAAACGTTTCGCAAGGAAGCAGTGAAGGATAAAATGTTACCTTCCTCAATTTAATGAAGCAAGGAGAACTGCTATTCTGTCCCCTTGTTCTGGTTTCTGAAAGGATGTAAATCAGCACTCAGCCCTATACTCCAAAAAATAAACTCAATGCCATTGAGTCGATTCCTGTAGGACACGGCATACCTGCCCCTGTGGGTTTCTGAGGCTGTTAACTCTTGATGGGAGAAGTAAGCTTCATCTTTTCCTCACGGAGCTGCTGCTGGCTTCCAACTGCTGACCTTGATTAGCAGCTCTAAGCGTAACACACTATGCCACCAGGCCTCCTCAGCCTGGTGTCTCCAATAAATGAGAAACCCCTAAAACCGTAAAGTACATTAAAAAAAATCCATTTAATAACTACATGCCGAAATAGGAGGATATAGTGAGATGGAAAACTGGCTAGACATTAAATCCTTCTTCTGAGTAAGAAAGGGTATTAGGAATAAATGTGGGCAACTTATGTGCACAGCTCTGCCATTGATGTTCTCGGCCAATTTAATTTTAATTTGGATAAAGAAATTACATATTATCTCTCAAAATATCAATGCATAATAATTCTGTAAGATATTTACTGTTGAAATTATTCTTGCTATGAAAGATTTCTTCTTAGGTCTCATTGTTTATATCAAGTGTTCTCTGTGTTCTCCGACATCAATGTGATCCAGTAAAAGAGAAAAGTTCTAGTGTCTATTTTTCTTTATGAATACACAGTGACTCTCTTGGATACTCATTTAATTTGTACAAGAGGTATAATTAACTGCCTCATAGAGATCTCATGAGAATGTAAGATGCTGATTTATATGAAAACACCTGGTGAATTGAAAACGCCTATCTTTACACACTTGCTAGTTTTTTAAATTAAATTCCTTTCAGCACTGCCACTGCCCCACCAGACTCTTTATGTACTTACATAATACACGCATCTTTTCCTCTGATTAGAACAAGTGAGGCTAACTGAGCAAAATGGACACACGTTGTGGGCAAGACAGACCCACGGGGCAGATGCAACCTAACTTCTGGAGGGAAGGGTACCTAAATGTGACTTCTTGTCAATACTATGCGGTTTCAAAATTTTCACGGAAAAATTCCATTATCTCTTAATTCCATCTTCCCACAAACTTTTTGGAAACCCCGCCCCCCACTAAGAATCACCGGAAAAGTCTTGCTAAAATGTAGACTGATTCAACACACCTGAGGTGGAAAGTAAATTCTCAGCAAGGGTTTGAATGAAGCAAACGAATTCACCCCTAGCCCTGCTTAGACGCTCTTAGAATTCAAGTCACCCCTAACTTGAATCTAACTCTGGGCGCCACGTTAAATTCACACACTCACTGCTATTGAGTCAATTCTGACTCGGAGCCACCCCATGGGCAGGGGAGGGCTGTCCCTGCGAGTTTCCGAGACAGTAATCGTTTAAGGGAGGACAAAGCCTCATCTTTCTCCCCGGCCACTTTAAACTGGAGCATTTACAATTAAGTTCTATTTCCACTTCCAGAGCCTAAAGATTCTTAAAATCTTGCCTATCTGAATAGGCTCACAGGAATAAGAGGGGTGGCAAATAAAGGAAAGCGCAGCGAAACGATGCTGTGCTATCCATAAAAAACATGAAAACACGGGGCTTGGATAGATACACAAAAAATGATTAAGACAAAAATGCTCCAAATCGGTAAGATGTGGACAATTTCTATCTCCCGAAAACTAAACTGCAATGTTAACGTTAGCGATCAGACTGGCCAGAGGAACTCTTGGCAGACAGAGAGGAATGTTAATAAAACATGCCACAATGCACAATACACATTAACGACTGAAATCCTTTTCGGAGAACACAGTATTGTTACTGCTGATAGCAATTAGCCGGCAGAAAAGTAAAATCGTTTCCAGAGATTCTTTTGGAAGGTTGCATGAAGTCGTGGCAAAGGCGAATATTCGAAGGTGGGCACGTTTCCAAAGAGCCCCTTAGGAGGTGACATTTACAATACCGCCACCCCCCACCCCGCCCTGCCAACACTAACAACATGCAGAGGACCACGGCTGTCAAACACAGACTGTCCCGAAAGTGGGCCGCGGGCGCCGTACGCGTCCTCGGGTTGGCCGCCCCCGGGAACAAAGCGCCGGTCTCAGCTGGGGCGAGCGCGCGGGACCACCCGCACGAGACGGACGCCCAGCCCAGACTCTCGGGCGACCAGGACCCACCACCTCCCTCGCCCCTCAGCCAGGTCCTCACGGTAAGTCCCGCACCGGCCGGCCGAGGCCGCTCTCTGGCACCCGCAGCCCTGGCTTGTCCCGCAGGCCGTCCCCACCCGCCAACGCGCCACTCCATTCATTGCCCCGGCGGCGGGCGGGGGCGCGACCCAGACCAGGCGAGGGGAGTGGGGGCCCCAAGAGGGGCAGGCGGCGGCCGCGGGGCCAGAGCTTACTCTGGGTGTCCGTTAAGGAGATCATGGTGACAGTGACGAGGACAGCGGCGGCAGGGACGCGGCGGGAGCACCAAGCAGGGCGCGGGACGCGAAGCGCGGTCGCGGAAAAGGAGTTCGGGAAGCCGCCCAGGGGAGAGCCGCCACGTCTTCCGGAAACACGCAGCCACCCCCACCCCAGCTCCGTGCCGGCTGCTCATTGGTTATCTCCGTTCCCAATTCCGTCCAATCGCTCGTGGCCTTGTTTCGTGACGCGTTAGCGGCTGCACCCCTGGGCCAATCAGAGAAGCGTGGTGCGTGCGATTGGGTGAATGGACCGACCCGGAAGGGTGGGGTCTCCACGCTGAGAAGAAGGGAAAGGCCGGTGGCGGGAGATGTGATAGGCGTTCCGCTGCAAGGGTGCGTAGCAGCCCGGAGGCCGGGTCCTCGGAGGTCGGAGACCGGGAAGCTGGAGGGTGCCCCGGGGTAGCTCCCGTGACAGCTCTGAAGCGTCAGGGCTGCGCCTTCCTCCTTCATCTTTCTCCTGCCTAACGGCGAGGTTGGTCTACACTTGGTCACTTCGGTCTCCCCTACAGTGGCAGGGGACACCCAGGGAGAAACGTCAACCCTTCTTCTGCTTTCATCGAAGTTAGACCTGGAGAGTACGTTGGGCTGCCCTTCGTTCTTTTCTTTTTCCTGTCATTTCCTAGCAGGATATTTGGACATCAAGTCCCAAGCCAACGCCGTTGTGAGGCCTGTGGAGTCTGACTTACGGCCCCATCGGACCCTGTAGGATAGAGTAGAGCTGCCTCAGAAGATTTCCAAGGCTGTAATCTTTATGGAAGCAGACTATAGCGTCTTTCTCCCGAACTACGGGCATTTCGGTTAGCGGTCTATCGCTGTAAGCATTGTGCACGCAAGGCCCCTTTGGATAAGAATAAGGTCTATCTACTTCACCAGGAAGGGTGGGGGGGGAACAAGCTACCATTGCCCTCAAGTTGATTTTGAATCATAGCGACCCGTATAGGACAGAATAGCACTGCTCCATCTTTCTGCACACCTCGGGTCTTGCAGTTAGTTAGTGGAGAAGCTCCTACTACGTACTATGCCAGGCTCTTGGCCTGATTATTGGCAACCAGCTTTTATTGGATGGAGATGCTTCTAAGGTCCCCTTCTTCATAGCAGTGTAAAGGACGGTATTATTAAAGTGATTGTTGTCTCTAGCTTTAGGTGACTGACAAGGGAGTGTGTGTCTGATTTTAGCTGTGATGGTACCTCCTGTTATTGTCCTCCACCATAGAATTAGTGACTGTCATCCTGTAAGTTTTTTCTGTGATGTTCGTGTATATGCTTCTGATAGGTCTACTGTAACGCAATAATTTCCAAATACATGCTTGTTGAGGTATCTTGCTTTTGAATCACATCATTTGAAAGAGGATTGAGTTTATGAACAGTCTTGGTGGTTTAATTAAAGGAGTTGTTTAAATTTATGTAGAAGAATTAGTTATAGATGATATCCTTTCTGCTGGGAAAGAGCTGCTTTTAGTCTCTGCAAACCTGTGGAGCACTTTGCCAGGTTTTGTGGATACAAAGTTGAAGAAATATATCCTCTGTTGTGCTTGTGAATTTTACAGTCTAGAGGACATGAATTGTATTTCCAGTGATGGGCAAATGCTTGTGTGTGTGTTGTGTACAAAGAATCAGAAACCCTAGGTGTGTGTGTGTGTGTAGTGTGTACAAAGAAAGAATCAGAAACCCTAGGTTTACTCCACTACTTTTAAAATCTTTTAGTGGAGTGGCTATTCCAGTTTCCAGGTAAACCAACACCCATGGACTCTAGTCGATTCCAACTCATAGTTTCTTAAGGTTTCTGAGACTAAATCTTTAAGGAAGTAAACGGGTTCATCTTTCTCCTGCAGAGCTTCTGGTGGATTCAAACCACTGACCTTGCAATTATCAGCCAATTGGGACTGATTGTTGCTGTTATTAGGTGCCATCAAGTCAGTTCTGACTTAAAACGACCCCAGGAGCAACCACAGAATGAAAGGCCACCTGGTCCTGTGCCAGTCTCACAATTGCATTGTTGAAGCCACTGTGTTAATCCATCTTGTTGGGGGCCTTCCTCCTTTTCACTGCCCCTCCACTCCTTAGAAAGGCATGAGAGAGCCAGTCAGCCTGTCTTTTCTAGCCTATTGGTGGCTTCAGAGTTCTATTTAGGAGTCACTTAAGGCTAGCCATGAGCGTTTCGGAGAGCATTCTAAGTTTTATAATTGCTGAGTATGCATATCAGAGGTCCATCACTACCTGGTAGCATGGTGGTTCAAGTTCTTAGCTGCTAATTAACAAGTCAAAGATTCAAACTCCCTAGTGGCTCCCACCAGCCAGCCAGTCTGGGGAAAAGATGTGACAGTCTGTGTCCTTAGAGATTATGGCCTTGGAGATTGTCGGGGGGCAGATCTACTTTGCCCTATAGGGGTGCTATGGGTCAGAATGTATAGGAGTGGGTTTAGTTTGGTTTGGGGCTGTATTAGAGAACTGGGAGTGGGCATAATTTGGAATTATGGGAAATTAAAGTTCCCACCATGATATTTTCATTTGCCTCATAAGCTCATGAAAGCTGGACAATAAATAAGGGAGTTCAAGCAAGACTTGGAGCATTTGAATGACAGTGTTGTATATATTGAAAGTGCCAAGTACTACCAGAAGAATGAACAAATCTGTCATGGAAGAAGTATGGTCAGAATACTCCTTAGAATTGAGACTGTCAGAAGACTTTGTCTCATGCACTTTGGATATGTCATCAGGAGAGAGAAATCCTTGGAGAAGGACTGCGTGCTTGGTAAAGAAGAAGACCCTCAAGGTGAATTGACGCAGTGACTGCAGCTGTGGCCTCCAGCATCATGATCTTGCAGCCGCTGCACGATTAGTCAGTGTTCTATTGTAAGAGGGTGACTATGAGTTGGAATGACCAGATGGCACCAAACACTAACAAAGTCCCGACCCTTAAGCCAAATAATGTTTTCACTTGCCCATGTGTTTTAATCAAATCCACTGCCATCAAGTCGATTCTGACTCATGGAAACACCCTGTAGGACGGAGTAGAACTGGCCCTGTGTGCTTTTGAGACCACCTCTTTACAAGAGTAGAAAGCCGCATCTTTCTCTTGAGGAGCTGCTGGTGGGTTTGTACTGCTGACCTTCTACCATTATACCAAATACAAATTATGCCTTTCCTTCCCCATCTCTTTTACTATTCTGTGGTCTCCCCCTCTGAAATCTAGCCCCTGCGTAACATGCCAATTACTATTTTTTAAATTGAGTTCAGCTCTTAAAAAGTTGTGTGAGTAAAATTTTAATTTGATAATGTAGATGACTTTTAGTTAAGGCAGGAGCATTTGAATCTAGTCAATGTGTTATTTAGAAGATAGTGCTATAATTCCAATTTTATCTGTATGAGAAAAAGGCTTAGAGCAGCGGTTCTCAACCTGTGGGTCTCGGCCCATTTGGCGGTCAAACAACCCTTTCACAGGTCGCCCGATTCATAGCATTAGCAAAATTACAGTTATGAAATAGCAACCAAAATAGTTTTATGATTGGGGCCGTCACCACAACATGAGGAACTGTATTAAAGAGTCAGGGCCTTAGGAAGGTTGAGAACCACTGGTTTAAGATTAGAGGATTGTCCATGAAAGTTAGAGTGGCACAAGTCACATGATCTTTATTGGAAAGCAACTGCAGTATATAGTTTAAGTTTTAACTTTTTATGTGTGCTTTATAATGACTGTTACCAATTTACGATTGTCAATAGTGCAGTTTTTTAAAAAATGTTTTATATGTTCTTTTTTATGTAGAAAGAAATTTGGATCTCCAATTTACTTTTAGAATGGCATCCGTTACAGGTTAGTGGAAATGATGATGGCATTTTTGTAGTTCTGCCTTATTTCCAATTGTTCTTTTTCTTTAAAAAAAAAAACATGTTTAAAAAACTCTGTAGAAATAATATATTTTGATTGAATTTTAGGAAACCTGAGATATTAAAAAAATATGCAAATCACTTTTCATCTTGCCATGTAGATTAATGATACTATTTACAATTAGTTGTGTTATTTTACAGTGAAATTTATAACATTTATGCAAATTGTAGCACAATTTTAAAGCAAACAAATACAGATTATAGATTATTGGTAAATCAATTCTGTTTACACTATTTGTTCTGTGAAACAGAATTAACTCAATGAAAAAGCAGGCTTGATTCTGTCTTTTGGTGCTCTTGTTTCAAAGTGATATTTGTTAACTAAATATAGTGCTGAATTTAGGCTACGCTATTTCCAATTTTGCAATGTAAATGATGCTACACGGAACATCTTTGAATTTAAATCTTTGTGTGCTACTTTGATTTTGTTCTTAAGATTTTGTTCCTGAAAGTGGAGTAACTGGACATGTCTTTAAAGCAGGAAAGATAAACACATCCATAATATCACCTTCCTCAGACAGCCACTCTTAGCATGCTCATGTCTTTTCATCTAGTAATGTTTCTACACACATGACTAGATTGCCCTGTATTTGTTAGTGAGAGCTTTCTGTCTGTTTGACTAAGAGCTGAATGACAGGAGAGGAGGGATTATACTCAGTCCATTGTAGGATAGAGGGAGTATGGTCTTGGCTACTTCCCAGCTCAACAAGTGGGTTAACAAGATTGTGTTGTTTTCACCTTTGAACATAATGCTTTCCTTAAATATGGATACCCTCTACTCCTACTTCCCACATCAAACTTTACAATTTATGTAAAGCAGAACTGTGTACTGTTGTGTCCATTCCAACTCATGGCACCTCCGGATGTGTCCTGGTAGAAATGCGCTCCATAACATTTCCTACGCTGTGACTTCTTCGAGGCAGATCACAGGTCTGCTTCGAGATGCCTCTGAGTGGTGTTGGCTGCCAGCCGTTCAGCCAGGAACGGAGTGCTTAATTATTTGCACTACTGGGGCTTCTATAAATAGACTACCTAGTGGGAATACAGATGGTTTCGTCCATCTCATGGCTCATTTCACACAGACTGAGTAAGGATTAATAGTAATTGGTAACAACTTCAATCATATTAAATAGTGACCCAAGTGATATTTACTTGGGTAAGAGATAGGAAGTAGTGTCTAAGA